GAAAAATCATAAAATTTTTGGTGTTTATAACTAAGGATTAAAAATATAACACTAAGTTTTCCATAAATTTTCCTTCAAGCAGCTATAGAGAAAACTCGACGCATCATTATAGGAAAAATTTTAAGTGCGTTTGAATTTTAAATTTTTACGAAATAGCATAACGATAACGATTTATCCTCAAACCAGGTATACCTATGTATGTCTATAATAATATAAGTTATTATGAATTATGATAACTACATGCAATATTTTTGGGAAAATTGATTAACCATGCCTTATGCAAAATGTGTCCTAATTGAAAATAAAATATTTGTTTCAAAATAGAATATATGACAATATTTAAATATAATATATTATCCTAGACTGACAAATCATCTCCGTTCAGAATCGTTTTTCGTATACAATTATACCTATCATTGCATTCAAATTTAACCTACCCTAGTCAGAGATCCACCCCACCCCCTAATGTATAGCAGAGCGACATCCACTTACCCGCTTTTTTTTGCAATACATTTATAAACGTATCATAAATGAACATTTTGATACTGTATAATATATTTTTAGTATCCGCTTGAAACATTTTGTTCCATCGTTATAATCTACCATGTACATACACGATAATATTTTAGGTGATAATATTAAGTATCATGAGCCTTGTATATGCAGGAAGCCTACACCGACTATATGACGATGGATAAGCACCTGTTATATATAACATACGATATTGCATAAACGATAAACTACGCATATTATATATATTTTAATCGATGGAGTTTTCTCTATGCTACTACAATGGAACTGCGTTTTATAAATCGGCATTCGTATCTACATTGAAYGAATATAATATCGCCAATAATAAATTATAATGTACCCATATCACACAAAGTAATATTGATTGCTTCATTAACTGACTGTCCAATTAATGTTCTTTTGTACATTCACTCGGTTTGCAATCTTATATTWATTCAAATCCATAATTATATTTATTTTTTTGTACCTCATTTCTCCCTAGTGAAGAGTATCTGTTGCTTTTATCTTATATAAAAACAAATAAGCGTTTTATTATACATTAATTCAGATGTATATAATTGTTTCATTATGACAGATGTTTTAATGGGATGACCATGCTATATTTTGGGTTAAATTAATAGGAATTAGAATTATCTTGTAGATAATTAAAAATCAAAATCAAAGTAATTTATTGAAATAATATCAACTAGGTACCTCACTGTTTAATAGTGGTTAATCATGGTGAATTTATTGTTTATCCTAATCTTGAATATTATTATAACTTGCATTTACACTGCCTTGGATAGATGAAATAAAAAAAAATATATATCTAGGTTCACGATCTTACATTTTTAAGGCGTTGGCAATATTAATGCGCAATATAACGTACATATGTTAGCATATCTGACGCGCCGTGTTAGTGCGATCGTCATCGTTTCAGCGCTGGCGTTGTTTGAAACCGTTTGATTAATATTAATCATTAGTCAAATAGTGAGATCCGTCACAAAGTAATTGTATCCAATTTGTTTCGTGATACGGAACTAATTATACCGGAGGATTAAACATTGATATTTAATATAATGTTATAACTATTGTAAATGTATWATTATTGTTACCTTATTTGACAATAATATTTTATCTACGGTTTGTATTTGATTGTCGCAAATATTATAACACTATTATAATGTCTTTGAACCCCGTTACTATTACTCTGTCTAACTGCTATTTCCTTTCTATCCAATACGAATTTTATATGATAAGGGTTTGACATTTGCATGCAGTAGTATATTAGCATAATGTTATAATAATGATACAAAATCAGTCATTGTTTACAATTGAATATTATGTATTAATAATATAATAATTAGAGCTTCTGCAAGGGTCATATGACGTAGG